AGATAACAGGAGAGAGGATGCCTTAGGGTTTATTGTGCATCGATAAAGTTCCAAAAACTCCAAGAGTTTGGAGTTTACGGCCCAAATGGTATTAGGGCCGTAAACCCTAATGACTATATAAGTGACACTTAGTTTATTTTTAACTTTTTTTCACACTTCCAAGTCTAGAACCAATTCTCTCTCAAGTATCATCCAAAGTTCTTCAAAAATCTTCAAGAAAGTAAGTGTTTTCTTCCTTGTTTAGTTGATACCTACCCTAATCTAGTGATCTTACATGATTTCATCCATGAAATCATTCCATTTGTGTAGATCTTCAAGTGTTCTTAGTTTCACCAAGAACACACACTAGTGTTCTTGGACTTCTAGCACCTTTTCAAGCTTCTACATAGTAAGTACTCTTACCTTGGCTTGTTATAAGACTTGTTACACTTCTAAAACATCTAGAAATCACAAGGAAACACTAGATCAAAGGTGTTTACGGTCCAAGATGTTCTTGGACCGTAAACCCTAACAAAGGGGCCAAAGTGTGCCCTAGTCCCTTACCAAGCCTTGGAAACTAGTCTAGATCCCATCCTTGATGTGCTTAGGACTTAAAACATCAAAAAGACCATAAACCATATGGGTTTACGGCCGTAAACACATGGAGAAGTGGTCCATGGGCCGTAAACTCCATTTAGGAGTGAAATGATGCCACAAACACTTCCTAAGGCTTATACTTGAAGTAGGATGCTTCCTTATGCCTTGAAAAGCTTCAAAACACAAAATGGTAGATGTACCATGAGTTTACGGCCGTAAACTCATGAGTTTACGACCGTAAACTCAAAGGGTGATGGTCACAAAACCGTATACTCCAAGAAAGTTTACCCTTGAACCCTAAACTCAAATACAAGGTCCTACCACCCTTAGATGCAATCCTTAGGACTTATAGCACTTAAATCAAGTGTTTTACATGTCTTAGGATGTCTTAAACTTGGTTAATTAGTTGTTTTATGACTAATTGGATACATATATGTGTTATTATATGTTAACTAGGATCCTTGTGTGTGTTCAAGTCTTCACTTGACACTTAGCATCCTATACATTCCGTTCATCCAAACCACTCACTACAGGTGAGTTCATACCCCTTTAATTAACCTTTTAAATGTTTTTAAATGCTTTTATGGGGGGGGATACAAGTGGAACAATTATAGTTATTATATCAATCACATGTGATTAATAACTACCACGCAAGTGGATTTCTTGCTTTTCAAACTGTTTTACAAACTCTTTTACATGTCAATTACTTTTACTTAAACTCTTTTACACTTATTTTCTGTTAAATGTATATCTTTATAGATATAGTTATATAAGTAGGATTGAAAGGACTTAGAACTGATAACTCACCTTACCTCATGTTCCTCGTTTGGTTGTGGACTTAAGGTATCGGTTATTTGTCCGAAGGTCGTTTGAATCCTAGTTATATATTATGTATATGTATATAGATATAAAAGTTCCTTCTTTCTATTCAAAACCTTTGGGTAGCAAAGGCATACATACATGTTTATACATTCAAATCATACTACTAGTAAGCTACTATAGGTGTAGTTTAGGGAGTTACTAATACTATTACTAGAACAATGAATCATACAATGAGTCAGTTCATACATGAGTCAATACATGCTAGATAGAGAGAGAACACACAATACAGCTAGTACACACAATACATTACAATACATGCTAGATAGAGAGAGAACACACAATACAGCTAGTACACACAGTACATTACAATACATGCTGCTAGATAGAGAGAGAACACAATACAGCTAGTACACACAGTACATTACAATACAGGCTAGACAGAGGGAGAACATACAATACAGCTAGCACATACATTACATATACATTTCTTGAGTTATGTGAGCCACGAAACGGGGCATGGCATCACCTGCCATGACCGTTTTGTATCCAGAATCTCCTTAATTGGGGAGCGTATGAGTTTGTGTATAGATCTATACTGGATTGACTATCCTACACCTTGCTGCTCGCTATAGTGGGACTTGCAAGTCTACGGGTGCCAAACGTCATTTCTTACGACGTCTTACATCGTCGTTTTTCTATAGAGTCGGTAGCAGGATACAGGCCGATCACATGGTACTTTAAATAGCAATTGGTTTAAGGTAGTTAGTACAGCAGTAGTTACTTAATACAACACTACAATACTATTTCATTTTCCCATTACATTTACTTTGTGATCTTCACACAATAAACAATAATGTAAAAACTATATTTATGGTTAATGATAGTAGGATTTGGGAAAATACACACTCTTACAAGAGACACACACACAGATACTAGATGCCTTGGTAGAAGGCTACTTTTAGTAGGAAACATAGGGTTTTCTAGGAGAGTTCAAACAATTACAAACTTTTACAAACTTATACAATTACAGACTTACAAACACTTTCATACAAACACAGACATTAATATACTTATGATCTCACCAGCTTTAAAGCTGATAAACTCTTTCAAAATAACTTGTATACTAAGGTCACCAGTAGACAGGTACCGGTGCCAGGTTTTGAGAAGATGGAGCTCGTTCAAGACTCATCTTTTATTTTGATGTATATTTTTGGTGTCTATATAACTTGACAGAACACACTTGTATGAAATTATATTATTAATGCAATGGATGATGTTGTTGCTTGTTTACTACTTTGCATTGTTGTGATACTGAACATGACGTCCTCCACCCCTGAACGTTTCCGCCGTTCTGGTTTTGGGGTGTGACACTATAGTCCAGATCTGAGGTTTCAACCTCAAGATATGCTCAAGGGACTCAATAACACAAGGTGGATGGGAGGAAATCCTAAAAGCTCCCCCAAACCAAGATCTACACAAAAGATAATCAAGTTAGCATCTTTTTACCTCCAACAGAAGCTAACCACTGAAGAATATCTGGATCCAAACGTCCCTCCCTGGTCCAAGCCAAGATGCTCTCCAAATCTTCTTCCAAAGTTGCACAAGAACACCCAAATTAGTCTCTTTCTCCTTCACAATGGATGAAACCGATCTAGGGTTTCTCACAGGGCTCTCTGGGGATAAGGGAGGCGGATTTGAGGGCTTAAGGCCCTTTAAATAGGACATAAACCTGGAAAATTAGGGTTTCTCCAAACAGCTCCAACTCGCCGAGTTGGTCTCTCTACTCGCCGAGTTGGTCACTAAACCCACGCGACCAAAATGACTCCACTCGCCGAGTTGGACATCTAACTCATTGAGTTGCTCTGCTAAGGAACATAAATTTCTCAAATATGATACCTGGAGATTCCAGGATGTTACATGGATGGGGATTAACATTACCATATCATTAAAATCGAATTTTATGAACCAAAACAGTTTGTGGTAATGTTCCTAATCCAAAACAGGCCAAAACTCGAAGATTCTACCCACAAACAGTCCAACTCGTCGAGTGCACTTATGAACTCGACGAGTTCATCATCATAAGGAACCTACTCGTCGAGTTCATATATGGACTTGTCGAGTAGGCCCTGGCAGGATCCAGTTTTGCAGTTTTTTCAACTTTGAAAATGACACAGTTGCATCAATACAATAGAAAACGTCCTAGGCTCTGATATCACTGATGGGATTTATGTACTCTAACATTCCTATGGTGCACATACAACCCTAATGCTTTGGATCCAAGCTTTCTCTAATTATACATGCAACATTGTTTTTCCAAAGCATAAAGCCTAAACTAGCATGCAAGGTAACATTTAAATCATTAAAACAGTTAGAAAAGTACCTTGTGTAGTAGCTTGCTTGTCTTTGACCTTTAGGAGCCTAGCACCTCAAGTGTGATGTCTCAAATGTCTTATAAGAAACCAAGAACAAGAGAATGGACTTGAGAGAGAGGCTTGGGAGCTCAAAATCGGCTACCAACTCTTAGTGTGCATGGGGTAACCGATTTTAGGTGTTAGGAGTTTCTTATATAGTCTAGGTTTACATCTATGCAAACCCTAACCCACTATGACCCTTCATATTTCATAGGCCCTTTGGGCTAAACCTTTATGGACTTGCATATAGGTTTAGTCCAACTCTAATCAACATGAGTCATGAGTCCAACTACAAGAATTACCGATTTACTTAATCAGTCCCCGTAACTTTAATTAGTTTCTTTTTGATCACTAAATTAATACCAAATTAATTATTAATCAATACTAATTAAATAATGTAATTCCTCAATTAATATATTATACTTATAATATATTAATAAATCACAATAACCTCTTCTTCAAGTATCCATCCTATCAAATTGTTTCAGAGTGTTACAACCCAAATGAACCATGCTATTATCGGGTCAAATACATACCAATTATAATTATGAGCTTAGACACTTAATCCAACAGATGTATCCATACAAGTTGTAGAGGCGGATTAATATAGTTTTAGTTGTATATAAAGAGAAAAGAAATAACCGAAGATTAATTGATATTTGGCTAATAAGTTGTTGCTTTTTAATACAATATATAAACAATTATAAATTTATAATGGTTAATAATTAAAGAATGAGTTATGAAATTTTTTTAGCAACTAATATATCAATTTTAATATAAATTGTTTATATATATATATATATATATATATATATATAGTTTTTGCCAAATATTCGGTTTAACTAAAATACAGTAATAAAAATTTAAACAAAACTAAACCAAGAGGGTGTTTGGGATTGCTTTTAAAATAACATTTTAACTTTTAATTTTTTTAAAAAGTTAAAAAATTCTGAAAAATGTTTGGGAATTAAAAAAAAAAAATTTCAAAAGAAATTTTTGCCAAAAAGAAAAAAAAAAGTTTTTCAAAAGTAATGAAATTGTAATTTTTTGTGACTTTTGGCCATTTAAAAAGTAAAAAACATTCCAAATTCAAAAATTAAGAAATATCATCCAAACATTTTTTAAAAAATTTTTAACTTTTACTTTTTAAAATAACTTTTAAAAAGAAAGAACTTTTGTAAAAAAAAAATTGATGCGAAAAATAATCCAAACACCCCCAAATAAAATATATTTGTCGTGTAGTACGTTAATACGGTGGTAAAACTATGTCAACAAAACCCGCATACGCGTAGATTCATCCGATTTCACGCAGACACCAAATCGTCTTCTTCGCTGGGCTGCTCCATCGTTCAAAGCGAAGGCGTATACGTACACCGATGCATACACAGAGAGAAACCCATGTTGGATTCAAGATCTAAAGAGAGAATCAAAAGGAGCATGAACTTGTACTCGAGACCGAAGCGGACAGGGCCGAGGCTCGATCGAAGAAACGCAATCAAGAACATCGATTACGACGCGTCTACATCTTCATCATCATTCGACACTCAATCGGCTCACCGAACTCGATCACTTGATATTTCATCGCTATCCGATAGAACGAGTTTTCGAATTGGAGGAACCGACGGCGAATTGGACTTGATCTTCAGCACTTTAGGGCTTTCGCCAGAGGATTTCGCAATACCGACGGCTGCTTGGGAAGCGCATAAATCTTATTCTCCTACGGGAGGTAGCTTACCCCATAGCTCTAGGCTTCGTCATTCTCCTCTGGGTTCGACTAGGGAATCGCCGGAGAGTGATTTCTCCGTGAGTTTTGAAAGTAAAATTAGCTTTACAGATGACGACGATGTTAAGTCCGACGGCGAGTGTTCAAGAGCGGCTGAGGTTGGTGAAGCTAGGGTTTTGGCGACAAATGGAATTGCGATTCGTGATGACGTCGGCGTATGTGGGATTGATGAAAACAGGCTTGGAAATGATTGCTCGGAAACAAGCAATGGTGCTGATTTATTGAAAGCTCAAAGGGCTAGGGTTTTGGAAGATGGTGGTGATAATGACACGAATAAAACGCGTGAGAGACGACATCCAGTCGTTGAAAGTGGAATCAAAGGTCCACGGCCACCGTTACTCGCTCCTCCACCTCCTATGTCACGAGCGATTGTGGATACTATGGATTCAAATTGGGATTTGATTCGGAGTTTTGCTCCTGGAGATAACGAAGACTCAGGATCAGATGAACCAGATAGGGCCATTACCAACGTTGATGCAAACAGGACGACGACATCAAGAATCAATACAACTGGTTCAAATACGCTGGATGATGAAAACGACGGCTACTCTAGTGCACCTGCTGAACTTGAATATTCCCTTTCGTCCAATGGATCATTTGGCAGTTTTAAAAACTGGCAGAAGGGAGATTTTCTTGGAAGTGGTTCATTTGGCACTGTTTACGAAGGCTTTAACGAGTAAGTTCAGTGGCTATCATCATATAAAGCCTCTGATATCTTACGCATAAATGGAGTTGATTGAGCTTTGCTTTTGTTTGCAGGGCTGGGAACTTTTTTGCTGTGAAGGAGGTTTCTTTGCTTGATCAAGGTAGCCAGGGAAAACAGAGCATTTATCAACTTGAACAGGTGATTCATAAATTCTCTTAACATCAAACCCTAAGTTTCTGCACACTAAACAATTACCCCTTTTTCTCTTCCTTTTACTTTTCCAGGAGATATCTTTATTAAGTCAGTTCCATCATGAAAACATAGTCCGATATCTTGGTACAGATACGGTATGCATTTCATGTCATAAAACTTAAAACCCCAAAAATTATAGTCTTTTCTTTTTCATCATATTGATACATGGTAATGGTTTTCAGGATGATGGGAAACTATATATCTTTCTTGAGCTTGTAACCAAAGGTTCACTAGCAAAACTTTATCAAAAATATGAACTTCGTGATTCCCAAGTTTCAGCATACACCAGACAGATTTTGAGTGGTTTAAATTACCTCCATGAACGAAAGGTTGTTCATAGGTATATACTTTCTTTCATCTTTAAAATCTATCATATCATGTATCAAAATTTAACTGTTGTATGCCACCTTGTAGGGATATCAAGTGTGCTAATATCTTAGTTGATGCAAGTGGATCTGTGAAGCTAGCAGATTTTGGATTGGCAAAAGTGAGTGAAACACACTTATCATTTTCTTTTCTACATTAGATTATGAGAACTCATTCATATTCACTGTATATATAATATTTATATACAGGCAACCACATTGAATGATATAAAATCTTGCAAAGGGACTCCATATTGGATGGCACCTGAGGTTGTTAACAACAGTAGATCAAATAATGGGTATGGACTTGCAGCTGATATATGGAGCCTTGGATGCACTGTGTTGGAGATGTTAACACGTAAAATTCCATACTCCCACTTGGAAGGGGTAAGTTTGACATTTCACTTATTATTATTATTATTATTATTTTCATAACTATATCAAATTAATACAATATTTGATTTGTTAGATGCAAGCACTTTTTAGAATTGGGCGTGGAGAACCTCCTCCAATTCCCAACACATTGTCTCGTGAGGCCCAAGATTTTATACTTGAATGCCTGAAAGTCAACCCAAATGACCGCCCTACTGCCGCCCAATTACTGCAGCATCCTTTTTTGAAGAAATCTGGTTCTATGAATTCGGTTCTTGCTTCTCCACGTTATAATGGTGTACAGTTGTAGCAGACTGTTTTATTGTGATGTGTGACTGATGTCAATGAGACAAAAATTGAAAATTGTCTCCATTCTGCTTGTGAAAAATGTATTGTTAGTGGAATTAGATTTGTTTTTTGTTTCTGTTTCTGTTTCTGTTTTGATGAATTTTATTTTTTTGGGGTTGTGGTTTGTTTGCTTTCTCTGGCGATGTTGTAAGTTGTATTTACAGAGGTGGTTGTGGTTTCAGTTTGTTGTAAAGAGTGGCATAAATAGGGGTGTTTGTTACTGTTTGTAGAGAGATGTTGTACATAATTTGGACAAATGGGAAAATCAAAGAAAATTGTTTGATTGATCGATCAATCGGATTTTAAATTGTATATGTACGCTTGTTTTGGTTATCATTACATCATTGAAATGCATTTCAACTGGGTAATTCTACTACAGTGGGTGTTAGGGAGGAGGGAGTCATTCCTTTCCAACCCACTGTCACATCACTTTTTCTCTTTTATTTTTCTTCATTTTTCCGAACCTACAATACATGGAAATCTTATCTTTTTGAACCCACTCAATTAAAAAAAAAATACAAAATAATCAAATGTAAAATCTTAATTAGCAATAGAGTTATCGGCGGTACCACTCCCGCTTCAACGAGTGGGTTGATTGGTTTCACTAACCCACTTCATCATCTCTCTCTACGTTCTCTTTCTTATTTTCTCTTGTACCATGTGTTTTAAAACTTATACCTTAGTTGTTTTGTATTTTTTTTAATTGAGTGGGTTCAAAAAGATAGGATTCCATGTGTTGTGGGTTCGGAAAGATGAAGAAAAATAAAAGAGAAAAATTGATATGGCAGTGGGTTCGGTGGGTTAGGAGGGAACGACTCCCTCCTCCCTTATAGTACATATAATATCAGTGTTAGATTGATGTATATAAATATTGAATGTCACAATTAAAAGATAAGTGACATAAAGATAAAATTATGGATTATTGGTTGTCTTTTATGACATTAACCCATCTAAAAATACAATTATACCACTTTTAAACAATGGTAGGGGTATCCATTGGTGATGTCCAAGATATGTAAAGTGTTGATATTCCATATGCACTAAAAGCCGTTGACGATGGATGGAAAATACTACTAGGCGAAATGGAGAATGATGAAAGTAAAAAACATATAATATGCTACTTTAATTAGTAGGAAACGAGAGATAAGAAAGAAATGATAGTATGCCCTCATATGAAACACACGTAAGGGTACTTAATGGGAGGCCACACACGGCTATTAGAGCCAGAGACAAGGGATGCAAAAAATAAATTTTAGGGACCATTAAAAAATATAACATCTAAACCATATCCATAATTTTTCACATAATACATCTTCACATATCTTTTGGAAGCTTCTAGAAATGACATGAAAAATTCTAAAACTCCCTAAAATATTTTAAAATGTTTCATAATGGACAATTCTTGAATGTTTGGAAAGACCTTGGAAGATTCCATAACATTATAGAATTCTCTAGAACATGGTTGAAGGTTTTAGGATTGCTTATAAACACGAGGAGCCTTGAAAATAGTTGTATTGTAGAACATTTAAAACTCTGTAAAGAACATATATAGATACACATAGTTGTCAGAATACTCTAGAGAAGTCTTTCATATACCAAGCAGCTAGGAGACTCTAGAACCTTCCTATAGTAAGGTGGAAGGTTAGACTAGCACCTATAAATAAGAGTGTAACTCATTTGGTCCAACCATCAAAGAAGCTCTCAAAGTTCTCTTATTAAGTGCTCAACCTTTCTATAGTAGGGGGTGTTGTGATTTTTCACCAAGACATTCAGATACCGAGAAAACAACCCTAAGTAATGTGTACATAACGCTTCAGTCTTCGATTTTCCATTCCAAGTACATTATATCAAGGTTCAAAGATTCTTTAACGAACGTAACAAGCTAGAGTAACATTCAAAGCCCTAGAACCAAGGTTCTAAAAAGCTCGTTATAGCTTCAAGGCTTGTACTTGACACCAAACTTTAACAAAAGCTCGACTCGGGATCGGATCGTGAGCTACTCGGGATCGGATCGTTAAAAGCTCGACTCGAAACCGATTTTAAACGAGCCCGAGCCGAACTTAAGCTTAATATTAAGCTCGTTTATTAAACGAGCTCGAGCTCGAGCCTATGTCATTAAGCTCGATTAGGCTCGCGAGCCTAAACGAGCCTTTATATAAAATAATTTATTATTATTTTTATATATTAAAATAAAAACATATTTAGGGATTAGGGATTTAGGGTATTAGTAAACGAGCTTCTTAACGAGCTCGAGCCGAGCTTAATCTTATTTAGGCACGTCAGACAAAAAACGAGCCAAACCCGAGCCCTAGTTGAGCTTGTATAATTATTTACGAGCTCGAGCCGAGCTCAGTACAAGAAGCTCGAATCGAGCCGAGCTCGAGCTCGAGCCTCGTATAATTTAAACGAGCCCGAGCCGAGCCTGACCATGCTCGGGCTCGGCTCGACTCGACTCGTTTGCACCCCTATATATAAAAATATATATAAAATATTAATTATATACACAATTGTAAACTTATGCCACGCCTTACAAACGATGTGGCTCACCACGGCTCGTAAAAGCTTGAGGCTTGATATTGCCGCCAAGTTACGCCTAACGTTATTTAGAACCTCTATAACACATGAGAGGTTCAACCGACCAAAAGAATGCACATTCCATTTCATGTTGATGTCCAAGACGTGCAAATTGTTGTTGATAAAACACATGCATAAAAAGCCATTAGCGATGGATGGAAACATTCATAATAGAAATGGAGAAAGAAAATGAATGTAAAGCAAATATAGAATATGTTAACTTAATAAGGAGGAAATGAGAGATACAAAATAAATAACATTATTGCCTTTATGTGCAACGTACATCAGGGTACTTAATCGGAGGTCGTTTTGAACAAGCCAATATCTTCAAAAAAACGTTATATCGTCTCTGTGAAATAAATATGCCATATTTTGAACAAGCAATATCAAGGGCTAGGAAATGTTTAAATTTACCAGTCTTTAAGTTTAAATTGCCCATTTAATCGTGACTTTGATTATAGTGATCTCTTATAGAGAGGCACTGATTAATCCGATGTCATCAACGTAGAGTAGTAGTGCAACATAAAAAATGTTGTATCAAATGATTTTGGCACGAGTGAGAAGGTGGAATCAAAGTGCAAAGTGGAATATGCTCGACATCTAGATGTTTGTTCACATTGCAAGGTTTTGTTGGCTTAGGTGTCTAAGCCCATAACTATAATTGGTATAAACTTGAATTGATAGTAGCACAGTCCTTTTGGGTTGCCCTCAAACCTAGGAATTGGACAAGATGATTTTTAGAGAGAGAGATTGATTTATTATTTGATTAATAAATTGAAATAAATAATCTATTATTATATTATGAGAATAACATGTGTAACACCTGGTTTGAATTGGAAAGGATTTAAGCATGGACTCAGCGAGTTGGGAGGCCAACTCGTCGAGTAGGGTCGTGAGATCATGAAACGCGGAACGGGACCGACTCGGCGAGTCAAAGGTCAACTCGACGAGTCCGAGCTGCTTAAAGAAAACCCTAAATTTTAGGTTTTACCCATATATAAACGTCATTATCCGCCCCAGTAGCCTCCCTTAGCACCATAGAAGAACGTTTACGGCCGCACACCCTCTTGTGAGTGAAGTAAGATCAATTGAGAGCTTATCCTTGAGATTTTGGGGAGGATTCCAAGTTTGAAGAGGAAGTATCAATGGAGAAGTGTTAGATCAAGCATCTATTTCGTCTTAGGCTTAAAATTGAGGTATGAATCTGTTACCTTGAGCCTAGATTCTATTTGAGAATTGTGACCAACTTTGAGGAAATAGAAGCAACCTTGGATCTGGACCTATCACAAGGATATGGTTCCACATCTGGACCTCCTTAGGTCCCAAACATCATAAAGTTGCACCCTTTATTAAGCTCCTTTTCTCTCCATGCATGAAAACCTTGTTGGAAGGTTAGTTTTGGTGATTATGGCCATGTGAGGCTTTGCATGCATGTAAAGTTTGCAACTTTACGTGTTATCCACACTAGTAGAGTATAGATCTGAAGTTTGGGGCCTTGAGTCCCACTGGAAGAGGCCGTAAACATAATGGACTAATAGGGACTCGGCGAGTCGTGCAAGAGACTCGGCGAGTCGAGAGGGTTTCCTCGTTCACGGCCAAGGGTTTACGACCAAGGGTGTACGGTTGGTGGTTTACGGCCGTAAACATCAAGGAACTCGACGAATCCCTTGGGTGACTTGGCGAGTCGATGAGTTAAGCAGGGAACCCGACGAGTGAATGATTGTACTCGACGAGTCAAGGTCAATATGGACTGTTGACCTTGACTATAGACTTTGACTTTGACCTTCGGGGTATTTATGGGGTTATGCTGAGTTATTTACTCATTGATTATAGGCAGTTGGGAAGAGCAGCATAGGGTATACCTGAATTTAGTTGCCGATTCAGCTTTGTGAGGTGAGTTTTCTCACCATACCAATGGGTCTAAGGCACCAAGGCCGGCCCATTTTGTGATAGTTGGTTTACTTGTTATGTAGAGGTGTGATATGTATGTGTGCATGATATGTGGTAGAGATAGCCTTCGTGGCTAACGGTAGAGATAGCCTTATGGCTAATGGTAGATATGGCCTTATGGATAATGGTAGAGATAGCCTTTGTGGCTAACGGTAGAGATAGCTTCATGGCTAATTGACATGTGATAAGTGGTAGAGGTAGCTTTATAGCTAATGTGATATGTGGTTTGTGTGGGGTATGCTCTGGGGGGACTCACTAAGCTTTCAGCTTACTGTTTGTGGATTTGTTTCAGGACCATCGGAGCCCAAGAGCAAAGGCAAGGCGTGATGATGCGGCGTGCACTCTATCTCTCTTTTCCAATCTGGTTTGGGGGACACTCTGATGTTTTGAAAATAATAATGTTGTAATGTTTGTGGTTTTGAAAACAATTATTGGAATCTTTATGTTTTATGAAAAATGGTTGACTAATTAAAAATGAAAAAATTTCTTTGTAAAATTTGGGTCGTTACAAGTTGGTATCAGAGCCTTGGTTTGAGGGATTCAGACATACCCTCGGGTGTGTCAGGACTCAAACTAAGGAAATGGTAAATTGTTTTCAAAAATGACATAAAAAGCTTTTGAAAGAAGGAAAAAATGAGAGTGCAACGCGCGTGATCAGCCGAGCCAAGTAAGTAGATCCCCAATATGCTAGTCATGCTATTTGATATTTGAACTCGGATGATCATATGGAATTTGCTATGTGTATGCTTTTAAAATTATATACGGAGGGCAGGACCATTTTGGCATTATAGCACTTCTGAAATCCAACAACCCTATGCGGCCCTTCAAACCAGATTCTCCGTACCGCGAGTAGTTCAAAGATATTATAATAACACTTTGTATATTATATTTTATAATATATGTATTGTTTATAAGTTCATAATAACGATATTGAACTTAAACATAAGCTATACTTAAAGTAGGGTAAGCATAACTCACTTACTAGGAGGTTTGGCTAGGAACCGGGCTCTGCGGGGGCAGAACTTCCGAGCCGAAAGCTCTTCTTCTCGGAGCCTTCTGGTGCTCCAGGACTCGCCTTTAGCACTTAGAAGTTGCTAGGGAATGGAAGTGATAGATTGGGAGTGTTGAGAGAGAAAGAAGGGTGAATGTGTGAAGAAAATGGATGATTTGTGTCTCTATTAATAGGGTGTTTGGGGGCGATTCACGTCGTGAAACTTAAATTCACGTCGTGGACTTGCGTGGGCACCAAGGCTTCGCCTGGTGCTGACACGTGGCGCCAGACGCACGTAAAACAACCAATTTAAAAAAAATCACAACTTTCGCATAAGAGCTCTGTTTTTTACGTTTTTTATATCCACACGTAGGTATTGACAAGATCTACAACTTTCCTTTTGACTCAATCGGCTAATTCTTGACCGATTTTAAATTTAACAGTATGATAAGATTACACTATTTAACGACCGTGTAAAATTCATAACTTCTATATACGGAATCCGTTTTTGACTGTCTTTTTATCATTGAGCTCTTATTAATGATATCTTCAATTATCATTTAGGTTGTGTCAGCTAAAAATCGATCGATCATAAATTCGAATTTCGGGCTGTGTACTGCTATGCTAAATCTTAGAAAAATTATAACTTCCTCATACAAAGTCAGATTTGGACGTTCTTTTATGCACTCTCTCGGTTTAATGTATACTACGACTTACGTTTACATCGCTAAGGCTAAAAAGTATTTTATCGCAAACTCACTTTTTACGATTCCCGGTGTTGTGACGTATACTATAACTTGGTTAAGATTATTTATTATACAAAATCTTCCATCAAAAAGTCATTTTTGCCGCTTATTGTCTCTAAATTGACTAGCTCGAATCTGCGGGCGTTACATAACACACCTTTAAACATATATGATCCAAGTAGATGGAATAATATTAGTACTAATTTAAGAGATTTAATTGTATAAAAAGGTCCTATTAAAATTTATGATTTTAAATTTCCAAAAGATCAACATTTAGGAAGCTTTAGTACATCTCTTTATATGCAAAAAATACCAAATGGAGAAAAATATGAACGAACATGGTTGGTTTATTCCATAGATGTAGATAAAGTGTTTTGTTTTTGTTGTAAATTATTTAATATGAATATATCTACATGTTCATTAGCACATAAAGGTAACAATGATTGAAATAATATTTCTAGTATACCAAAAAATACATGAAGCAAGTAACAGACACATTCTTAATATGAGGTCACAGATTGACTTAGAAACTAGATTAGCAAACAATAAAACAATTAAAAAGCAAATCCAAGAACAAATAAATAAAGAAAAAAAACATTGGAAAAATATGTTAATAAGAATCATTGTTGTAGTAAAAACTTTAGGAAAAAATAATTTAGCATTTCGTGGAACAAATGAAAAAATTTATGAAGAAAATAATGGTAAATTTTTAACTATAATTGAAATGATTGCGGAATTTGATCTTATTATCCAAGAACATATTAAGAGAATTAATGACAAAGAAATTCATAATCATTATCTTGGACATAATATTCAAAATGAACTTATTAGTTTATTAGGAGAAGAAGTTAAAACTAAAAATTATTAAAAAAGTAAAAGAGGCTAAATACTTTTCAATAATACTTGATTGTACTCCTGATACAAGTCACAAGGAACAAATGTCAATTATCTAACGATGTTTAGATCTTTCAACAACTCCAATAGAAGTTAAGGAGTACTTTCTATTGACGACTAGAGAGCTAAAACTTTTATTGATTGGCTTTTTGTATATTGATTACAATACATTGGAAGCTAATATTTATAGGATACTAATGACATATACAAGGAAAGGTTGTGCATGATTCTAGGCTAGAGAATAGCTGTAACATATCGAGATTGATCCTTAAATTTGGGAGGGATATTTGAAAAATAATTTTCTTTTTCAACACTCCCCCTCAAGTTGAGTAATGGGAGCCCCAAAACTCAACTTGCCAAGATAGCGATTAAAGATTCTTCCATTGACCTCCTTTGTTAGAATGTTTGCCACCTGGTCTTCTGATCGGACAAACGGAAGTTCGATAATTCCAGCTTCCACTTTTTCTTTAATGAAGTGTCGGTCAATCTCCACGTGTTTTGTTCGATCATGTTGAACTGGATTTTCGGAGATTTGAATCGCAACCTCATTATCACACATCATTCTACTTGTGCCCTTCGGAGGAAAACCAAGTTCTGTTAAAAGCTTCTTGATCCATATAATTTCTGCCAGTCCTCGATCTATGCCCCTGAGTTTAGCTTCTGCACTTGAGAGTGCAACAACCTTTTGTTTCTTTCTCTTCCACGTCACAAGGTTCCCGCCAACCAACGTGAAATAACCTTATGAGAATTTTGTGCCTTATGAGAATTTCGAGCCATTTTAGCATGTCTAACAGTTTGGGGTTCATTTTGTAATATTTCAAGAGTTTGGGGACTAAAAAATTTAGGATTTAATAACCAAGGGTCTGAGGATAAAGCCCCAAACCCTTTACCTGCATTTTCTTCGTCGTTTTTCACACCAGAGGTGGCGATACCACCAAATCCCCCTTGCATCTGATTGTCGTCGGTGCCGGTACCCACGACTGCCTTCCTTTTCTCAGCCGGAACACCAGTTTTCTTGTGGCCATCATTCCACCATTCTAGGTAACCGACCGGTTTAAAATACTGATCTTTAGTGTGCTTCAACATACCACAATGGCTGCACTTCAGTTTTGATTTATCCATTCGAGATGGAGGTTTCCCAGAGGAGTCAGATCTGTGGTGTTTCCCCTTCGTGACCAGCCCTATCCCACTGGAATCTTGTGACCCACCGGAATCGTATGAGCCGTCGCCGGCGACAAGGCCGGCCGCCAAGCCAGGCAGTGAGTTTTCAGTGGTGCCTCCAAGGATTCCTTGGTGAGCCATTTCTTTCCTAACAGCCGCGTAGGCCCTCTCTGCAGAGGGAAGTGAATCCCATCCAAGGATTTTCCCGTTTGATGGGGTCGAATCTTCGATCCAAGGCATTCAAAAATTGGAAGAGTTTTTGTTCAGCCCTGATACTATTGTATGTGGCTATATCGATGTCACACTTCATTGGATTCAGATCTCTCCTCTCAATTTCACCCCATATGCCTTGTAGGGCTATCCAAAAATCTTCGAGAGGAGCCCCATTCTGCTTGATTTCATTTGCTTTGACATGAAGGTCGAAGGTCTGTAACTTATCATTTCCACTACTGTACGTAACCACTAAGGCATCCCATAGTTTTTTTGCCGTGGGAAACTCAGTGAGATTACTAGCGAGTGCAGGTTCAATGTTTTGTATTAGCCATGAGAACACGATTAAATCATATTGTTCCCATTGCTCGTACCGGTCGTCTAAGGGATTTGGCGGTGTAGGAACACCCGAAAGATGGCTTAACAAACTTTTAGATTTCCCCCAATCGCAACTCGGATCATCTGAGCCCAAAGGGCGTAATTCTGGCTGTTAAGCTTGAGAATGATCTTCAAGCTATCTGATAAACTCTGTTTTGTGGTTTGATTCTGGTTATTGAGGGTTGTTTTGAAAAGGTTTGTAAGTTGGGCAGTAAGATCATTGTTGCTGTTATTCGAGCTACCATCTTCGGACATGGCAACTTGATTTTGGGTAGAAGATGAGTTTGGGTTAGTTGAGTCTGTGAACGTCTCACTGCTCTGATACCATATTGACGATCAGAGAGCTGAAAACTTTTATTGATTGACTTTTTTGTATATTGATTACAATACATTGGAAGCTAATATTTATAGGATACTAATAACATATACAAGGAAAGGTTGTGCATGATTCTAGGCTGGAGAATAGTTGTAACATACGGAGATTGATCCTTAAATTTGGGAGGAATATTTGAAATCATTTCCTTTTTCAACACTTTCTAGGATTTTTAATTGTAGATAATACAAACGATAAAGGCTTATATGATGCTATAGTTGATGAAATTAAAAATATAGGACTAAATATAAATGATGATAGGGGTCAAGGTTACGACAATGGTTCAAATATGAAAGGAAAACATCAAGGTGTACAGAAACGATTGTTAGATATTAACCCTAAAGCATTCTACACTCTTTGTGGTTACCATAGTTTAAATTTAGTAATTTGTAATATGGCTAATTCGTGAGATAAAGCTAGTGAATTTTTTGTAGTTATACAACGTATATATTCGATATTTGCTTCATCAACTCACAGGTGGAAAATATTACAAGATAATATATCAAACCTAACACTTAAATCATTATCGCAAACTCATTGGGAAAGTAGGGTAGACAGTGTAAAAACAATTAGATTTCAAGCACCACAATTAAGAAAAGCACTTTTACAATTATCCAAAAATTATGGAGATCCAAAAATTAAAAGTGAGGCTAAATGTTTAGCTACATATGAACTTGAAAACTATGAATTTTTATTAGGAATGATTATTTGGTATGATGTTTTGTTTGCTATTAACACTGTTAGTAAAAGCTTGCAATCAAATGATATGTGTATCGATGATACTATAGATCAACTAAATGGACTTTTGTGTTTCTTTGAAGAATATAGAGAAAATGGATTTGAAAAGGCTTTAGATTATGCAAAAGAATTGGCTTTAGAAATGAACGTAAAACCTGAATTTCGTGAAAAACGTATCATTCAAAGAAATAGACGATATGATGAAAATGTTGCTAATGAAACTATTAAAACTCCTCTTCAGTTATTTAAAACTGATTACTTTTTATATATAGTAGATAAAACAATTACTTCACTTAAAAGTAGATTTGAGCAATTTAACGAGTTCAAAAATATTTTTGGTTTTCTATTTAGTATAGAACAATTAAAATCATTTGATGAAAATACTTTAAAAGAACATTGTTTAAATCTTGAAAAATCTTTAACACCTCGTTCCCCAATTTTAGCAAAGAAAAAGAAAAGAAGAGAAAAGAAGAGAAAGGAAAGAAAAATAATTTTGTCTTTCGTTTTCCCCAATCGGAGAGAAGTGAAAGGAAAGTTAAACATTTTGTTCTTTCTCTCCAAATCCGTCCAAATCAGAAGGAAAGTTAGGAGGGAAAGTGATCATTTTCATTTCTTTCCACTTCTCTCATTTAATGAAACTCGGGAACACTAATTTCTTTTACTTTCCTCTCACTTCCATCCATTTACTTTCTTTTCTCTCGTTAAGTTGAACCCGGGAACGGGGTGTAAAGCATGATGATAGCTTAGATATCGATGGTTTAGATTTATTTCATGAACTAAAACTTTTAAGACATATTGTACATTTAGAACGTGATACAATTATTAATATACTTAATTACATTAAAAAGTTTAGTTCTTTTCCAAATGCATATGTTGCTTATATGATTATGTTAACTATTCCTGTAATCGTTGTCTCCGCAGAAAGAAGTTTTTCTAAATTAAAACTGTTAAAAAATTATTTAAGATCTACAATGTCGCAAGAAAGATTAAATGGATTAGCTATTTTGTCAATTGAAAAACATTTAGTAAAAGAAAGTGATTATGAAAATTTCATTTAAGAATTTGCATCTAAAAAGGCTAGAAAAATTAACTTTATGTCATTAAATATATTCACAAAAACATATGTATAATTTTTTTAACTCTGCAATTTGTAAACTTTTTAGTTTATTATTGCCGGTCCCAAGCCCGGATAAATGATGAGGGTTTATAACATTAAGTATAGTAACTGTCAACGGACCCCAAATTTTTGGTTCGCTTAGAGCTCCCAAACTCTTTGAGCCGGCCCTGAAATTGTTTTTAATGCAATTTCACATATCTAATTACGTAAAATATATTTTAATACCTCTAAAGTTATGTTATTGAAGTTGCTAATATAGTTGAATGAATTGTTTTTAGTGCCATTACATAAATCTAATTACACAAGACTTACTTTAATACCTTTATATAGTTATGTTATCGACTGACACAATGAGTTTCGTCTCAAAACTCATTTGTGAAAACCTTTTACTTAGCTAAGAAAATTTATAATATAATGTTTATAACAAATTGTTAATATAGTTGAATAAATTGTTTTTAATGTCATTTTTAAGACCTATTTTAATATTTCTAAAGTTATGTTATTGATGTGCGCGATGATTTTTATCTCAAATTTCATTTGTAAAACCTTTTACTCGGCTATGAAAATTGATAATGGAATGTTTTTGGTGCTATTTCACAAATTTAATTAATTAAGACCTACTTTCATACTTATGAAGTTATGTTATCCCTAAACAAAAACAAAAAGGAGTTTTAAAAGTGTATCAAAACATTTTTTTTATTATAGTTTATTACTTTTCAAGAACATCCTTTAAGACTCTAAGCCAAATACTTTTCAACTCATTCACTTATTCGTTTTTACAAATATAAAAGCTAATCTAATATTTTTTTTAAAACTTCTTTTCTCATTTTCATACGTCAATAAGTCCATTTGATAAAAATCTTTTTAACTACAAAATAAAATCTACAACACCTCTTAATAATCAAACCGTAATGATATTAGACTGCTCATTTGGTCTTTCGATATTGATATACTTATTATAATCGATACCCGGTCGGTTTTAATGGGTTTTAATCGGATTTGACCGTACTGATCGGATGTTTTGGGCGGGTCTGGGCATCCCAATCAAAATCTTTCAAAAGGCAGTTATGGTATCAGAGGGGAGGTAGATCATAGATGAGATGCCGATCAAAGAAAGATTATTAGATATCGAAGAACACAGTTCATGTTACGATTGGTGACCTAAGACTCAATTGAGTCGCTGTACCTCACCATGAAATGGTTCCCCGATCACGAGAAACACGCTAGAAAAAACTATTCCCTTCAGAAGTTGATACTTGGGACCGAAACCTCCGAGAATGAACCTAATTACCTTACGCTGGCTCAAGTTCACTTCAGTATCCTCTTCAAGATGCCAATACTGATGCTTTTCATCATGGAGCTGACCCCTCCGGGGGTTTGGGTGCTCCAACGTCAAGGTTTGTGCGCATGTGTATTTTCTGAAATTAGGGTCGCAGGTGACAAAATTGGTATTATTTACTTTTTCTAAATGTAGTTTATTTGCCAAATGAGAAAATATTTCATAGTAGAATAGGGTAGAACTTATCAGAGAACAATAAGTTCTTATATCCATCTGCACACATGGTTTCGAGAAATCAGTGTTTTGCCATAAGATTAAGTCATGAAACATACTTGTTGCATACAACAAGTCAACAACATAATCTAGTGGTTTGGGTAATGTTTGATTTGTTGAACAATGGGGTTGGATGATAAGGATGATATGAAGTGATTTGCCAATGTGCAAACTTACTAAATTTGCTCAAAAGGTACCAGATTCTAGTTCATGAAATCCCTTTTCAATGTGTAGAAAGATGTATGCATATACTATTATTAGTAAGTAACAACTCAAAACCATCATTTGATTCTTGCCACTAAGTTAAAACCATTTGAAGATGTACTTACTCACAAGACACAACTAGAAGATTCATACACTGGAGAGATGCAATAAGCTAGGTTGAAGTAGAAAATATAAACCTTGAGGGGTTCTTAATTCACTAAGTTCTTTAAAGTTGCCACTTTTCCACTTTTCTACATAATCTAGTTACCTTTAGAGTTACCAAATCCAGTTCTTGATTGGTACTTTATTCACTAATTTGTATGTTAGACAACACAAGATACTAGTATCAATAGGTAAACTCTTCATGAATGGCATCTTGAATTGCTCACCATTTGTGAACCATATCAATTTATTATCTCTTAGCAGCCAAATTAATGGTATTTAAAAGTGTAACAGTTGTATGACTTGGAAATGAAGAGTAATATATGAATTAATTTCAATGCAAAAGCAGAAACTATCATATAACACAAGAAAAAGTACTAATGAACTTAGTTAGTGGTCTAGTTCTTTGTTTATGATTATAATTGTCTCTTTCTGTAGTAAATAAGTTCAACCTTTTCATTTTGCAATGAATGCACTTACACTCACCTTATTTGCCAATATCTAATAAGACTTTTTTAGTGATTAAGGAAAACAATCTACATTGAGAGATTAAGAGACAAATATGTACATGATCTTGTCCATTGAAAAGTTCATTATAGTATAATGACATGGACACATGGTGACACTTTCCATTTTAGATATAAGAAAAAAAACAAAGCATGTCTAGAATTGGAACAAATCCAACAATATCCCACAAATCATTTATGGGTATGAGTAACATGTTTATAAAAATCGGCCCAATAAGTTACCAATCCAGTAATTAATGCTCATTCTTTACACCGGCCCATCATCGGTCTCGACATTCAATCTTTATAACCAATTTTGTGCATCAAATCCCTAGGGTTTGCTCAAAGGGGAATCAATCCTTCAATTCTTGATTTTGGAGATAAGATTGCTACAAATTCAAGCAAACCCTTTTGAATCCATAGAGTCTTGAAGATGGAGGACGAAAAGGATACGAATCTTGAAAAGAAAGAGGATGAAACAGGAGACAAGATCGGTGAAGAAACACTAGTCAACATAGACATAGACGACTCAAGGGGGGAAGAATTTGAGAGAATGGTTAATGAAGAGTACAAAATTTGGAAAAAAGAAACTCCATTTTTGTACGATTTGGTCGTTTCACGTGTACTTGAGTGGCCTTCACTCACTGTTGAATGGCTTCCTGATCAGGTAGAGTCGCCAGACGGGGAGTATTCTGTCCAAAAGATTATCTGTGGGACCCACACTTTAGATGATGAACCTAATTATCTCATTATTGCACAAGTGAAGCTTCCTTTATTTGATGTGGAGTATGATGATTCTCATGTTAATGAGAATGAACATTCTGGTCGCAAGGTTTGTGATTTCTTACTAAAAGTAGATTGGTATTTGAATTTTGGATTTTTAAATTTTAAAAATTTGATCAGATTGAAGTGGTGCAACAAATTTGTCATGAAGGAGAGGTGCATAGGGCTCGTTATATGCCTCAAAACACTTGTGTAATTGCCACAAAGACAATTGATTCAGGAGTTTATGTTTTTGATTATGGGCATCATCCAATAAAGCCTTGTCCTGATGAACAATTCAATCCTGATTTGATATTGAAAGGTCATGAAAGTGATGGATTTGGGTTATCATGGAGTAAATTCAAACAAGGTTTGTTGTTGAGTGGCTCTTATGATGAAAAAATCTGCATGTGGGACATAAATCGGACCCCAGAGAATCATGCTTTGGATCCAATGCAAATATATAAGGTACAATATAACATAATATCTTTACCAATAATCTTTGTTGAATGAAAGAGTAAGAAGAATTTAAACATGGTTTGTTTTTGACAATACACAATGACACAATGAAGAAACAGAAGAGATAGATCATAGAAGTAGAAATGAAATCAGTTTTATACATAAAAGTTTACACATAATTATCATTTTTTTTTTTTTTTTGATATGTTTTAATAGGTTCATAATGGTCCTGTTGAAGATGTAGCTTGGAGTTTGAAGCATGACTACTTATTTGGTTCATGTGGTGATGACAAATACTTGCATATATTTGATCTTCGTTCTCCATGTCTCACCAAACCCATCCAAACTTTAATGGCCCACCAACATTTCGTACTTTTTCCCCAACATACTTTCATTTCCTACTTTCTGTTACAAGGATTATACTTTGAAATTTTTTTTTTTTTTTTTTTGTGGTAGATTAACTGCTTGGCATTCAATCCTTTTAACGAATGGATAGTGGCAACGGGGTCCGTAGACAATACAGTGAAGCTGTTTGATTTGCGAAAATTCACAAGTGCTCTCCATACGTTTAATTTTCACTTGTAAGAATTCTCATTTATAAATATTATTTGAAGTTGTCTATGCCTTTTTTCATCTTTCTACTTGTGTTATCACAGGAATGAGGTGATTCAGGTTGGGTGGAGCCCACAGAATGAGACAATTTTAGCTTCTTCTTGTGCTGGTAGGAGACTCCTGGTCTGGGATCTTAGTAGGTAACTTCAGTAAATAGCAACCTACTTTTATTCTTTTCTTCTTATTACATCTACAGAATTATAGCAATTCTTTTTAAAAAAAAAAAAAATTAAAAAACACAGGATTGGGGAAGAACAATCGGCACAGGATGCAGAAGATGGGCCACCAGAGCTGATGTTCATCCATGGTGGACATACAGATAGAGTTGTAGATTTGTCATGGAATCCATGTGAAGATTGGGTGATTGCTAGTGTTGCTGATGATAACATCCTCCAAATATGGCAGATGGCTGACCATATTTACAATGATGAGTAACTACCAGCCATTAAAGCTGCTTAGTTTGGTTATATAAACAGTTGACTTTAGATGTTGATTTTCTGTTAGGATGTTTAATGGGGATGATATGATGATGCTATATAAGTTTGAGGTTGAAATGAACATATTACATATGGTATTAGAATCGGTTTTATGTTTTGGTTTCCCTTTTGTTTCTTCATAATCATATGCAGTGTTGTTATAGAAAGTTTTAGTTAATCATTTTGAACAAATTCAATTTTGTCATCGAAATCTTGTTTTGAAAATGCTTTTATCTTTTTTTTTTCTTTCAAAAGGGGATAAAAATTGCTGTAGTTTTGATTTTTTTTAATCACCAAAAAAAATTTCAGGCCAGATTCTATAAAATTTGCTGTAGTTTTGATTTTTTTTAATCACCAAAAGATTTTTTTTTCTAAGTTAACCACTGAGATTTTTTTTCTCGGAAAAACAAAGATTTTCGAATAATGAGTTGAAAAAAACAAATGGAAGATTATTTTTTGAGGTTAAATATGGTTTTATTTTTTTAATTCAAACTTTTAATGGTTAACTTCAAAATAAAGTTTTCTTTGAATGCCCGGGAGGGGGTTTTGCCACTAAATGCTAAATCGGATATTGTCTCCGAAGATAAATACTTAGGTTTTTTCGATTCACCGGTTGCGGAAGCTGAATTAAGAAGATAAGCCGCTGAAGGGTCTGTCTCCCTTGAGGGCTAAACCAAAAAATTTCAAACTAAAGTGGTTTAAAATTCAAAAGGCTATTTAGTGTTTATTAAAAAAAAAAAACAAACTTCGATTTTATGGAATTTTCCCTCTATTAAAAAAAAATCCTTGACCGTCCAGAGGTTATCAAGGCTTTTAAGATTGACAAAACTGCACAAATGGTCATTTTGGTTAGGCTGAAAATTACCAATTTGATCCAAAAAGGTTTTGACTATCAACAGAGGTTCAAACTTTTCATTTTGTTGTGAATTTGGTCCAATTTGCTTTGAATTTTTTTATAATGATGATTTTGCCCTTATTTTTTTTTATTTTTCAGTTTTTTTGTTAATTTATTAATTTTTTGATTAAAATAAATAAAAAACAAAAATAGAAATCTCTCTCTCTCTCTCTCTCTCTCTCTCTCTCTCTCTCTCTCTCTCTCTCTCTCTCTCTCTCTCTCTCTCTCTCTCTCTCTCTCTCTCTCTCCTGGAAATTAAAACACACATGCACACAAACACTTCAAAAAAACTTCACAAAAACCTACACATACCTTCAAAACCCCAACATTTTCAAAGAGATCAGATGAAATCTAGTGAAGAATAAAGGGATTAAATATGAACCACCTCCATCGTCACCAAAAAATATAATAGATGAGCTTCAATTCCTTTTTACAGATGAAGGTGAATACGAAAGATGGAACTTATGGGTTCAACTTGTGTACCATTTTCCCCACAAGTATCCTCCTCCTTTCTCTCTCGCTCTCTCTCTCTCTCTCTCTCTCTCTCTCACACACACACACACACACACACATGTACACATACATAATAAAAGATGCTCAAGAAGAAAACCCACATTTCCTTATTGTAACACTCAATTTGGGTATGTTTCCTTTTGCCCTTTATATTTAATTTATTGTAATTTAGTCCCTGGAGTTAGTACGCGGGGCGTACCATTGGATACACTTAGGGTACTAAGGAGGGCACCTGATCGGAGCAGAAGCCTCGTACGCTGGGCGTACGAGGGTTACGCATGGCGTACATGGAGGATAAAAAACCCTAATTTTAGGGTGTTTCACCCTATATAAGGTCCTTAAGTCCCTAGGGCTGGCATCTTTACCAGCCTCCATTGTCCTAACGCCCTAATCTCGAACCCTAATAGCCTCTTTGAGTGTTCTTGAGCTTTGATCTTGATTTTTGGTGGTTCTTGAAGTGAAAGAAGAAGAAGTGGAAGACTCATTCATAGAAGGAAGCTTAAAGATCCAAATTTAGCTTCATCTTTTGGTGACTTTTGAGGTATAAAGTCCCAACCTTTATCACTGTATGTTTAGATCTCTTCATGTCATAGTTTTTATGCTTTTTGGTCCCTTTTGGGTTAGTTTGTTGAGCTAAGTCGTTTGTGGAGCTTACTCTTTTAGATCTGGGCATATTATGAGTTTCTTAAGCTTAAAGGTGCAAACTTTATGGTGTTTGTGGTCTCATGCATGCATTAAGTCATCTATTAAGTCCTTTTGAGTTTTAAGAGCTTCATTAAGCCATGCGGGGGTTATCCTCTCAGCTTCATTAAGTCATCTTTTCCAAGTCAACCCATTGATCGAGCATCTTCCATTCACCACGTCGTGTTGGAAGATCTCCATGACGTGGTATTCGGTCTTCTAGTCTTCTTTTTTGCCTTTGCTTCCATTTTCCTGCTTCCAGCTCCTCGTATGCTCCCTTTTTGTCCCAAGCATGTCTTCGCTACTACAAAACATATTTCAAACATAATAAGTATCTTTTGTCCCAAAATAAACATAATTATAGTTAAAAGTATTAGAAATATGCATTAAATATATAGTTAAATATAAACATATCAATGAGCAGATGCAAGAGTTCATATCGTCGGAGATCACCTGCGGTATTTTGGATCATACTCCTGTGATCTTTGGTATGATCAATGAGGGTATCATGGAGATTATGGATGAGCGTCTGGGCATGTTTCGCACTAGGATTCTGGAGCTGCTGGATGAGCGACTCGGGGCCTTCCGGGACGAGGTTCCAATATGTCAATTCGAAGTACATACTCCCTCTTTTCAGGAGTTCAAGGCATATGGAGTTCTAGAGTTCTTTGGGGCTAAGGACCCCATTGGTAGCCACCGATGGGTCGTTGACATGGAGAATGGTAAGTGAAAAAGCTTCTGTCCTGAGGAGCGGAGGTGGGATTTACATCCTGCATTTTGAGAGATCGAACCTGTGATTGGTGGGAGGAGGTCGGTGCATTATGATTTACGACTGTGGTGGCCATGACTTGGGAGGAGTTTGTTACGAGATTCAATGAGGAGTTTGCACTAGTGATTGAGGTGCAACAGCTGGCGAGGGAGTTTTAGGATCTTCGCCAGACTACTGAGACTGTGGAAGAGATCCTGCCAAGTTTTCAGAGAGGTCATTGTTGGTTCCGTAGTACGTTGTGGATGAGG